CCTTGAGAGTATCTTACTATAAATGAGATTTTCTTGTGATTGTTTTGTGGTGTGTGTGTCGTGTGTGTGTGTGTGTCGTGTGTGCCGGCTATACGTTTCGCACCGCTCAACGGATCCTCTCCAAACTTGGTACGAACATTCTACAGATTATGACACGTTGCATGGGCTATTTTTTTTTTTTTAGTTTTATTTTTTTCCCATTTCACGTTCAAAAACATTAAAATAGTGGAAAATTTTCGCATGGCAACGTCACAACAACACGAAAACACGACGCCACCTATCGGATCTTATATGTGTTAATATTTTTTATTTATTTATTTATTTTTAGTTTTGACCACCTAACGGGGATGGACGGGTATGGCTAGTCCTTAACAATTCCAGTACTATTTTATTTATTTAGTAGAGTCTGCTGGACACAGCTCCATAAGTCATGCAAAACACCTATCGCCATCTATCGGCCATGGGGCTAAGCATACCTGGCCCGAAGGACTAAAGCCCCCTTCACCTACCCTCTGCTAGCACCACATACGTCTTCGAGCAATCGTACGGCTACATGTGCGTGCACGCGCGCGTGTTGTGACTGTGTACCGCATCTTATACAGTGTATGGTATCGCCAAAAAATGCATGTCTGCATGTATCGAAGAAGTAGTAAGGTGGATTACCAATAAGTGACTGGCTGTTGTTATTCTCTTTGCTTTCTACATAAATATCTATCACGGGTGTATGTACTATATTGCGGCAATTGGCAGAAGATGGCGATTAAAATGCTACGTAACGTTAACCATCTAAATTAATACATATATTTCGATTCCTATATTTCTCCCCGCTTTCATTATCAATCCCCACTTGTTCGATCTCTCTCCCCCTTTCTCTGTCTGTCTCCTTTCTCTTCTCTCTATCTCCCACTTTCTTTACAAATATTTTATCACATATATCTATGCGATCTACTATGCTGATGTAATATAATTATGCAGTGTTTTATTATGTCTTTAATTACGATGTCAATACAATTACAATGTCTTCCATATAACGATATGTTGAGCCATTATTTCTGTGACAGGAGTATGCAGGGACATTGCATTTCACCTGTGTATTTTATCGTGAAATCACTAGCCATACCCGTCTATCCCCGTTAGGTGGTCAAAACTAAAAATAAAAAAATAAATAAAAAATATTAACACATATAAGATCGATAAGTGCGCGTCGTGTTTTCGTGTTGTTGTACGTTGCCATGCGAAATCTTTCCACTATTTTAATGTTTTTGAACGTGGAATGTGAAAAAAATAAAACTGAAAAAAAATAAATAGCCCATGCAACGTGTCATGATCTGTAGAATGTTCGTACCAAGTTTGGAGAGGATCTGTTGAGCGGTGCGGAAACGTATAGCCGGACCATAGAGCCGGACACACACACACACACACACACACACACACACACACACACACACACACACACACACACACACACACACACACACACACACACACACAGAAAATCCTCAATTTATAGTAAGAGTACAATTCCATAGTAATTCCAATTTATAGTAATAGTACAATTCCAGTACTATTTTATATATCTAGTAGAGTCTGCTGGACACACAGCTCCATAAGTCATGCAAAACACCTATCGCCACCTATCGGCCATGGAACTAAGCATACCTGGCCCGAAAGACTAAAGCCCCCTTCACCTACCCTCTGCTAGCACCACATACGTCGTCGCGCAATCGTACGGCTACATGTGCGTGCACGCGCGCGTGTTGTGCATGTGTACCGCATCTTATACAGTGTATGGTATTGCCAAAAAATCCATGTCTGTATGTATCGAAGGAGTAGTAAGGTGGATTACCAATAAGTGACTGGCTGTTGTTATGCTCTTTGCTTTCTACATAAATATCTATCACGGGTGTATGTACTATATTGCGGCAATTGGCAGAAGATGGCGATCAAAATGCTACGTAACGTTAACCATCTAAATTAATACATATATTTCGATTCCTATATTTCTCCCCACTTTTATTATCAATCCCCACTTGTTCGATCTCTCTCCCCCTTTCTCTGTCTGTCTCCTTTCCCTTCTCTCTATCTCCCACTTTCTTTACAAATATTTTATCACATATATCTATGCGATCTACTATGCTGATGTATTATAATTATGCAGTGTTTTATTATGTCTTTAATTACGATGTCAATACAATTACAATGTCTTCCATATAACGAAATGTTGAGCCATTATTTCTGTGACAGGAGTATGCAGGGACATTGCATATTTCACCTGTGTATTTTATCGTGAAATCCATGATAGGCTTAACACCTAAATTAATTTGTAATTGTGCCCTTAATGTGATTGTTCTAAAGATTTCCGTTCAACGGGTAGTGTTTTTGTGCGTAAATATACGGTAGCTGAACTTGGCATAACATATATACGACTATAGTAGACTGTTAAATATTAATCTGCCCAGCTGCATAGAATGCGAACTCTTGTAGCGAAAGTGCGACAAGACTGAAACTAATCCACACTGTTATAAGAATAGACTTTTTCATAACCATATACTTTATATATATTGAACTGAGGAAATCGATTCACGCTTCTGCGTGTATATTATTGATCGTGTTGGCCTAAGCCGAGGACGGCAAATGAAAATAATCTGGAAGCGTTACTTTTTATTCCCGCATGACGCTATTTTTCCACAGCGTATTTGTTTTTTGATACTAGCGTCTCCGTAAATAACACATGTTTTTCCAATAGCCAATAAGCAAATAAGCTAAATTCTCTCTTCTGTCACGCTTAAGCGCGCATGCATAACATGTAATGTCATAAAAACTCGCGTGGATAGTCTATTATTAACCTGAAACCATCATTGCAGTTCTGAGCATCTCGGTCTCATCGACTTAATCACATTTTTTACTGTAAGTCTGCAACTCATTAGTAACTGGTTAAAACAATATATTTTACCGACATTTTTTTCTAATAAAGTTTAATACTCCGTACCGGATGTACTGTATATCCGTTATTTTTGTGAATTTTTCTCGGTTTTTAGATCATACGTTAATTAGTAGGTTTTCCCACTGATTGCTATCTTCTCACATGCGCCAAAACGCTCTCGTACCAGCTCCCGCTAACGGTTGTTGTATATATGCCAGCCAACTGTTACCATGCACTTCACGAGAGATGTGTGTGTGTGTTTGTTATGTATAATGTTTATACGCATGAGCAAACGCCGACAGATGCACAGACACACGTGCCGATAGACGGACACATTCAACTCAACTTTACTTACACAACAACACACGTGTAGCCACTGCACGATTACATACGCACGCAGGCGCATACACGCACACGTACACACTGTACTTACACGCACTGTACTCTACTGTACTGTAGTGTAGTTTACTGTACGTACACTGTACATACACGCACACGTAGGCACGTACACGCTGACTTGTATCTCTGTGGAACTCTATTGCGGAACGCTCTATATGTGGCATAGTGCGCCACTACACTCATCATGTATATCAATGCGCACGCGCAGGAGTTCCTTGCCGTATGAGCGCTGTTGTGATTACAACAGGAGTGTCATTATGTATAATAAATAAAATATATTATATCTTATATTCTTCTTATAGACTATATAGTCTGTATTATGATGCTTCTAATTTCAATAATCCGCGAGCTCAATAGGTAGCTGGTAGCTATAACTTAGCAGCAAATAAGGAACATTTACGTGTATGTAATAATTAATGAATACATAGGATAAACTAAATAACTAAATCTAAATTAAACTTTGTACTTATGGGCCTTATTATCCATGTGATTTGCCACATGAAAATTCGCAACAAATTCGTTCTTTCTATAAATAAAGAAACAGATAGAAAAGATGGACGGACGAACAGACGGGTGGATGGATGAGATGGATGGAGGAATGGATAAATAGATGGACGGACGGACAGACGGGCGGGCGGATGGAGAGATGGATCGTATACACACATAGACACAAACGTTCGTTCTATAAATAAAGAAACAGATAGAAAAGATGGACGGACGAACGGAAGGACGGGTGGATGGATGAGATAGATGGAGGAATGGATAAATGGATGGACGGACGGACAGACGGGCGGGCGGATGGAGAGATGGATCGCATACACATATAGACACAAACGTTCGCGCAATCACACACCCTTGGAAGCTTACACGTACATGTATGTATGTGATCACACGTGTATATACGTGCGTCTGAGTTGCCAATGGCATCAAGTAGAAATTACAGCCTGCATGCGTGCGTGCGTGGACTATATCTGTCACTATGAATTTATTGCTTTACAGCAATATTGTATAATGATAGTAGGATCTGTAGATATGTGTAGCATAAACTATGCTCGGCTACAGCCGATGTAATATATTAGTCATCAAATATAAATAGATTAAATGCGAAAATATGACGTGACACGAATCTAATCGAATTTTATTATGGTCTGGTTTACCTACCGATTGAAATGCACCCTAGCATTGAATATGTATACTGTTCACCGAGGAACAATGCCCTATGAATAAATGTACATAAGTGTGTATAATAAAATAATAAGTCTAGGTGAATTGTTTACATAGCTAGCATTTACAGCAGGTAAATAGTACCGCAAACCGCAATCTTACAATAGACGCGTTTGAGTATAATAATTAAGTATTATTGTAAACAGAGCAATAACAACTGTGTGAGACAGAGCAGACATCTTAGCTCCGTAGCTTCTCTAATAAATCTCTCTTCTCTAATACATTTCAGAACGTCACATCAAGCCAGCCGCAGTGCAACAAGTGAGCTAAATACATATATGTGTATATCTACATTTACATGTTGCACAAACGTGTATATATGTAGAAATTTTGACGCACATAAGACATTGTATGTGAGCAAATAGTAATCTATACAAACGAGTATATGTATATATATATATATATATATATATATATATATATATATATATATATATATATATATATACACATGTGTTTGCTTTTAACAAATTTCACACGCCACAGCTTCCTATGTGGGAAGAATTTCCTAATAGTGTTTCAGAGAAACATAAATAGTGAAAAGTGGCCACTCAGAGTATGGCGATAATTATGATGATGACGATGATTCCGCAGATGATGATGGCGCCGACTAGACTTCCCACCCTAATCGCCTGCAAGTCATCTTCCGGATTTTCCTGCTCAAATTGACGTGCGAAGGAAGCCTGGAATAGAAAGAAACATTAGAAACGTCCAACAAGCTATGCGTCTAGCGATGCTAGTAGGTACGAGGAATTCCCTATTGGCATAGATATATCGTAATGCACACGGATGTGTAATATGGGATATAAATGCGCCAGTGCGCGATCGATCACTCTATATTATGCCATCACGAAAATAACGGCTGGCCCACTGTAGGCATACGACTTATTTTGTTGATCATATTTGAGTTATTTGTATCCTTATGATTATTTTCAAGCCCACTCCTGCATCGCATACTATCACTTTGTACGAAATGACATCTTAGTGTGATATGAAATCGATTGAAATCAACTTTCTAGTGACTTATGACCTTTAAATTATCTATTGTCGCACGAATATTGCGCGCGAGTGGGAAGCATATTATACAGCTAAGCCTGCAACCAGCACCTGTGATAACTCTTAAATTAAATTTCAGAAATTAAATTACTTTGGCGATTTATGCTTCGTATTTTTAGCATTTGCATCCGTGATGGCTCTAAAGTTCAATTTGGACGATTTGATTACTCTCAGGCATTTTATTAAACCCCATCTAACATTTATGCGGATGATATTGCTACCGACGCCACCTATGATACCTTTCAAATTGTAGAAATTGTTAATTTGATTTTTTTTTCAAGTAGGATTTACGCGTTAGCAGCGGGGGTAACATAAAACGTAATGTTAAAAGATTGATCCCGTTCCGTGTGAAAACTACATGAGCAGATCATGTACTGATGAAATCTGTGCGTGATCACTGTTGTGATTCGACTGACTGGGTCGACGCCCGCCTTAAATAAATAAATAGCAAATAGTTCATCCTGCTGCTAATGGCAATTGGTTCTATATGTGGCATATACTCAACACTCGTATACGATTCAACCTATAAACATATGCACACAAAAAACAAGCACACACACATACGCGCATGCGCGCACACGCACACGCACATGCACACGCGCACACACATACACACACACACACACACACACACGATAAATAAGCAAACTACACACTCGGTCTGTAGCCATGTTAGTCTACCTTTGCTGAAAAGTGGTTTCGCGCACTAACAGATCGTCCGCTTGACGTGCGCCTACCCGTCCGTGGTGTAATGAAAACTGGTAGTCGTCTAGTAAAACATTTTTAATATATATTCTAAATGGCATCTGAATTCGCATAAAAACTTTATGTACCGTAATTGAACACTAAATAACGAAAATACGCCAGAACCTACAGTAAACTATCCCTTTAATATACACAGAATACGTATGCTGCAAATACGCACCCACCATTCACGTATATTAATACCCACTATCGGATAGACAACCAGCTGCTCTATCTTGCGCATAACTGATGATACACCGAAAAACCGATATCGTACTTGACATAATAACTCACCACAATCAAAGGAAGCTTGAACTCGTCTCTTAATTAAGCGAACCATTCATCTACTCCTCCAATCCATAAACTGCCTTATCAAACTTCTTACATGTCGTAGTTCTCTAACATCGTCTATCGTCGTCTGTCTGTCGCTGACTGTCTGGTCTCTACTGCTCTATGTAGTCGTCCAGTATGTCCGGTGCTGTTTGCTCTGCTGCCTGCCTGTCGTCTCTGCCTGCCTATCTGTCTACTGTCTGTCGCTGTAGATCTGTCGTATCTTCTGTCGTCTGTCTGCGGTACTTCAGGCTGTTCTCTTCTGTCTGCCTCTGCCTGTTCTGTCTGCTGTCTGTCGCCTGCTGGTCTGTCTGTCCTGTCTGATCTGTCGTCGCTGTCCGTACGTCTGCCTGTCCCTGTCTCACTGCGTATGTAGTGTCGGTAATGCCGTCTGTTCTGCTGCACGCTGCCGGCGTCTGCCTGGCTCCTGCTGTCGCTATTCGTCCTTCTGTCTGTACCCTGTCGGTATTGCGGCTGATCTGTGCCGCTGTCTTTGTAAGTCTACTTTTTGTTTTGTGGTATCCTCTCATCCCTCCCCCCTTCGCTCTCTCACTGCGCTATCTTTTCGCGCTAGCACTCATGCAATAACATGTCTATGATGCAATGTATTCTTCACGCCTGCATGGCTTCAGTCGTTCACAGGCTTGCTTTATTTTCCAACAAAAATCTCCTGATCCCCCCCCTTCCTCCTAATACACGATTCCAATAGGCAATAGTTCCAAGCATATCTCATCCCGCATTACAAAATGTTAATGTATAAGCCGCAGTTGCAGTATCAGCACATATGATATCGCGTTGAGCTGAAAGAAATAAAGTTGTGTCTTACATACGCGAGTGTCTGTAAGGTTTGCGTGTATTCTCATGTGTGGGTGTTGTCTGTGTGTGTGTGTGTGTGTGTGCGTGCGTGCGTGTCGTGCGTGCGTGCTGCGTGCGTGCGCGTGCGGGTGTGTGTGGTGTGTGTGTGCGCGCGTGAGTGCGCGTGTTGGGGGTGGGTTTGGGGGCGAACCCACTTCAGGCCAGCACACACTCTCTCTCCGCTCTCTCTCGCGCTCTCTCTCTCCTCTCTCCTTCCCTCTCTCCTCTCCCCCTAAATCACTTACCCGCATGGTCAACAAAACAGCTTCTTCCTCAGAAGCGAGACACAATTACTAACAGCCCAACGTTCGCGTTTCTGGCCGTGACAACTCTAATCTCCTGCTCCTCTGTCTCCACCTCACCTACACTCTCTCTCCACACTCAATCTTTCTCTCTCTCTCGCTCCTCCTTCTCATCGCCTCTGCTCCTCGTCTCTCTCTCTCTCTTCTACTGGCTCTTCCTTCGCCATCTCTTCGACGCTCTCTTCTCTCTCTCCTCCCGTTCTTTTTCTCCTGCACGTCTGTCACTCTTACCCCTTCCCTCTCTCTCCCTGCCCTTCTCCTCCTCCCAACTATCTCTCAGTCTCTCCTCCTCTCTAGCTCCCTCTCATCGCATCTGTTCTCTATCTACATGCTATCATCCATCTATCTATCTATGTTCTATGTAAACTATCTATCTATCTGATCTATCACAATTCATCTCTCTATCTAAATCTATCTATCATCTATCTATATCATATCGATCTATCTTCGTCCTATCCTCTCTATCGTATCTCTCTCCTTCTTCCTCTCTCCCTCGGCCGCCTCACCCTCTCCCCATCTCTTCCCCTCCCCTCTCTCTTTCTCTCCTACCGGCCCCCAGTCTTCCATCTCT